GACCAACTTGGTAAGTTGTTGCCTGGGTGCTTGCCTAGTTGTCACGAGGTGCCACGTGTCGCAATTTCACTGGAGGGCCAAATCTGCCCTCATCACAACCCTTCATGTTTGGGTCGGTTTTGCTTAATGAGAAGTCGGTTGTGGTTTGCTCTTTAAATAACCCGACTAGATCGGATCGATATCACCACAATTAGACATTGGAGTGCAAAATTATGGCCTCCAGAAATTTGCACATACATTAAGTGTGCAATATGTGATATAGTGATCGGGTCAAATGGGTTAATGGTTGAACCACCTAAGTGTGATATAGTGATCTAGTGATCAGGTCAAACGAGTTTCAAAGCAAACCCAAAATCAAGATTAAGTGATGGTTCAAATGATTCAACCATATGGGTCAATGGTGAATTGAGAACATTTATCTCTATGTATTTTTTATCTTTAAGCTGTTTTTGTTTCAAATTTTAGCTTATTATATTTGATTGCATTAAAAATAATATATAAAATAAAATCCAAAACAAAATTAAATGAAAAACATTATAATTTTGGCCATTATAAAATAAGTATCAATCTTGGCCATTATATTTTTGAAGGTTACCCTTCTTATTATTGATGTCCTGGCTCCATTCTTGTCCTGGCTCCATTCTTGGAACTTAAAAACATTTTAATCAGAGGATGTCACCCTTTGAATCACCACCTTCCCAGCTCTAAACAGGTTTTATGACTTTTATTGATGGGTTAGATCGATGCGGAATCTGGATAAGAAGGTTCAAAGAATCGAAATGCATGCTGTATAGATTTTCAGCATGGGCGTTGCCAGGAATTAAGAATATCATTGAAGTTTGAACCGTAGCAGAAAGCCAGAAAGTGTGAAAACCAATGTTTAAAGTATCAAATCCAATCGGATATGCATCGGATTTTTAACCCATTAATACATTACTCTGAATTAGGAGTTTAGGACGTACGACCGTACGTAGACATTTGGCCACTTCCGATATTTTGGACCTCGGTGAAAATCAGCTAATCAAGTATTCGATTTAGGACATGTGGTCCGGCCCAGCTCGACCCACATTATTTCTAGGAAGGAGATTATGTGGTCCCAATTTTATACGAAAGAAAATTAAGGTAAGGTGGTGCAAATTTTACATTAATTTTTTATTAGATGCTAAATCTGCATGAATGGCGGTTGTACAATTATACTATGACTCTAATTGTCTCGTAACTTATATCGAGTATAACATGAATTATGAATAAAGGGTAAAATTTTTATATTATCTTTATAGTTTAGCTAATTGATTAAGTGTACCTTTATTTTTTTTTTTAAATTGATTAAAGCTATTCTTTCTGTTTTTAAAAATTATCATTACTATTAAAATATTGACTGAAGGGCTAAAATGTCTATTTTGCCGTTAAATCAAATTCGAAGCTCTTCCATTCTTCTTTCTTCCAGGTTTTTGACGCTTTACCGGAATTAGTCTCAGCCACTTGTGTCCGAGAAAGGAGAATCACCGGCAAAATTGCACCGCCCTCGAAAGTTGCCCAACCCCTCTCACTCTGACTCTGACCAGAGAACTTGTAATCGTCTGGCATCTTCAACGAAGTAGGAGGAGAGAGATGCCGTTACTTTGTGGTCATGGTCTTGGATTCAAGACGACGCCACTGCTAGGAGTTGCAACAACGGTGACCAAGAAAATAAAGACGAAGAAGAGGGTTTGATTGCAAAGAAGACATTGAGTAACCGGGTTCGCTTCATTGGTTCCCCATAGGGGTTTGATTCAGGACAGGCGCTTGATTGCAAAGAAGACGAAGAAGAGGGTTCACTTTAGGACAGGGGACAACAGTTCGATTGCATAGAAGACGAAGAAGAGGAGAGAGAGGCATGTTCGGTTTGTTCGATCATAGAGAAGACGAATAAGAGGAGAGAGAAAGATGGAGCCTAGCAGAGTTGTTTGGTTTTGTTCGATTGCAGAGAAGGCAAAGAAGAGAGAGAAATCTCTGTTCGGTTTGTTCGATTGCGGAGAAGGCGAAGAAGAGAGAAATCCATGTTCGATTGCAAGCTCCCCACCTCACCTCGCCGTTGCATCTCTAGTTCAGTCGATGAGGTGCTTACAGTTATCGCCGGTGATGAGGTACTACAACACAACAGTTGTCGTCGCCAAACCCTCCCTCCCCCACCTCACCTCGCCATCGCATCTCTGGTTCAGTCGGTGAGGTGCTTACAGTTGTCGCTGGTGATGAGGTACTACAACACAGTAGTTGTTACCGCCTAGCCCTCCCTCCCCCACCTCACCTCGTTGCTACATCTCTGGTTCAGTTGGTGAGGTGCTTATAATTGTCGCAGGTGATGAGATACTACGACAGAGCAGTTGTCGCCGCCAAACCCTCCCTCCCCCACCTCGCCTACCTCATCTCGGGTTCAGCTAGTCGGTGATGAGGTTCGAAACTGGGCTTGGTCAAAAAAATCTCTGCAATACTATGGATTTGAAGGGTTTGGGGATTTTCGATTATAAAAGGGTATATTAGGGATTTTTGAAAATATAACGATGTGATGTCGCATGTGTACAGTTTAGATAGAATATTAACGGTATGAAAAGTTTTAGGTAATTTTTAGAAACAGGGTAGCCTTAGTCAATTTTCATATAATAAGAATACAGTTTGTAATTTAAGAAATTTACCCTTTAGTAAAATACTGCTATAAGAGAGAGAGGGGTTACCTCATAATATAAAAACTTGTAAAATTTCTCATGTATGAATGTTATTTGGAATATAGAGCTCGAATGCCGAACTCTCGATGCAAATAATTATTCATTTTGAGATCATTTGTACTCAAATATCTTAAGCATTTAATTTGATTGGCCATTTCGTTCTTTCTTCAACAAAAGTACTTCTACTACAACTCAAAGCCTTGGCCAAATCTCAGAAAAATTGTTTGCATGACAGCAAGCACTTATATGCACCAATTCCTCTGCTCTTTTTAGCCTTTCTCGTCACCATTTCTTTTGCATTCATGTCTCGAGATTGAAGTGATTATCTATGTTTTTTACCCACAGCAATTATCTTTTAATCTGCATTTGCAGCCACACCAAGATTATGACTGGTTAATTAATTAATTGCATATATTATATTTGTTGACTCCAGCAGTATTTGTTTCCCCAGCTTAGCTGGGCTAGTTGCAAATCCAAAGATTGTTTAGAAAAAAAAATAGAAATAAAAAAAAACCCTACCAGCCCAAGATTCAAATCTCTGTTCAATAGGAAAAGAGAAAAGTGGAAAATAATCAGATGTGAATAAACAGGATCAGAAAATAATTAAATTACCAATTAAACAACCTGGAAATCATGAATGTTAATGCCATAGACCAAGAGTTTGGTTGGTAGGGCGAGGTATCCCATAGTTGCATACTCTCGTTCTTTAATAGAATTTCTCTTAAACAACTCGAAAGAACTGTTGGAGAAGATGGGGTCACTGTAATTTTGGAGGAGAAGCTCTAACGCACGTCTGAAGACACTGTCTTTAGAACGTTATTTACCCCCACTCAGTTTTACTGAGTTTGCTATTAGGTTACAGGCAAATTCGTTCCTAGGATACAACAGAGCCTTGGGCGAGAATCTGCAACCAGCAAAGTTGAAGAGTCTCCAGAGAAACCTTCTGTGAGACTGTAGTAGACCGAACTGAGAGAGAGAGAGAGAGAGTGAGTGAATTTCGAAATTGTGTGTTTTGGAGTCTGATTCATGCTCCTTAAATAATTTGTGAAGATGTATGAAGAAAATGTAGGTGCTAGTTTAGAGAAGACACCTTGAACAGTCACAATTTCGAACATTGTGACTGTTTAAATAGTAGTTAACAGTTGGTGACTATTAACTTTGAATTGTGCCTCTTGATCACATCCGATCGAATTATGACCGTTGATCTCATCAACGGTCATCAACGCACCAAAACCAGAGCCATCAATCGCGAGCCACACGCCTTAAAGTGCCTCATTGCGCCGCACACACGCACACATGCACTGCACAGTATCAAATCCCCATACTCTCCTCTACTAATTCTAACGAGTGTAAATCAACTCATATTGAAAAACTGAACAAAACTTATAATTTTCCAACATAGGATAAGTTCAAAACTAGGTTTTTTGTAAGAGAAAAACTGATTTTTCGACCAAGTGTGCAAGGGCAATTTCTCATGTAATTGACCAATCAAACCCATTGGATTTCATACTCTGCTCTGCGTGTGCAGACTGTGGTGTGCACCATGGAGTTTTGGTATGCGGCTGAACAATTCCATCCAATAATGCATAATTGCCTATACCAAAAAAGAATCCCACAGTAAATCCATGAGAGTTGCATTGGGGAACAGTCGATAGAAAGCATCTGAAGAAATATAGTAGAATCATGAGTAAAATCAAAACATAAGAGTTTCGAGTGGTTACGAGAGGTCGCGCTTCAGTTCCTGCTTATAACCAAGCTCGTGCAGCCGTGCATGACCTGAATCCTCTGAAGCATTCCCGTTCCGAATATGGGAAGGAAGGGCCGTCTCTTCATGTCTCCTGGCCATCTCTAAAGTAAACCAACTGAGAGGTGGGTGTGTTTTCTCTCTCTCTCTTTCCCTCTCTCACACACACGCGACGCATATATACATAATAATGAGGTTAATTGGTTCGTGGTGGAGTTTTAGTTCATGGGTCTTCTTTGGAAATTGCAGGGTGATTTCGAATTTTGCGTTTTCATTTTCGATTATATCAGTGCTCACAGGGATAACGACCCTTTACAATACAGGGCTAACATATGGAGGCCCTGTTGTTATGGTCTATGGCTGGTTTATTGCCGGTCTCTTCACCATGTTTGTTGGGCTGTCGATGGCTGAGATTTGTTCCTCCTATCCTACATCGGGTGGTCTTTACTACTGGAGCGCCAAGCTCGCTTGCCCTGACTGGGCGCCTTTTGCTTCATGGTTAACGGGCTGGTAATTCATTTCTTCTTTTTCTTCTTTTTTTTTTTAATTTTTATATAACTTTGTTTCTAGTTGCTATCGTTACTAATTCCAAGCTGAAGTGTTGATCCATGTGGACTGATTTCCAACCTATCCATTAAAAGAATTGGTAATTGCCAATTTCACTTATTCTTCCACTTTATGGGGGCATATATATACACGCTCGAAGTGGATCAATGAGCAATCTTGTCAACTTCAACTGGGATTTATAATTGATACTGTCAAGCTCCCTTAAGGAGACAACAAAGATAAGTACCCCTAGGGAGCTTGTAATCTTCGTTTTGGTAGGCTGCGCTTGACATGCTTTCATAAAATTAATTATGATGAATTTTGTGATTCTATCATTTTAAATCTGTATATGAAAATCATTGGCTCAAAACTCATTCTTCAAACAGTGATACTTTGGAGAAAAGTTTTAACCAAAGAAAGCCTTTCTGAAGTTTGTTATCTATCAAGTACGAACAGTAAGTTGATCTTGGTAGGTTCCAGTATTCTACCAAGAAATGGAGGTTTAAGATTGGACTATGCTGTTGCAGTCTACCATCCTATACACCCCAATTAGCATATGGGATTGAGCAGACCTTTAATAATCTAATATAGCTATTACTCTAATGCATAGGCAATGTTCACATCTTCATCCCTACTCTGATCCAACCTCTAACAATCTACTAAGGAACTGGTGTAATGCTTTACAGCCCCTGCTGTCAGATGTCATAGTTGTCAAAACTCAAAAGTGAAGTAAAACTTTAATTCCTGAAATAGATGTTTTCTGTATATACTTGGTTTGTTTTGTTTCATTGTTAGGATACTTGGTAATGGTGTGGTGCAGATGAGAAATAAATATTAAGATGACAAACTTGAATAGGATATGCATTAGTTGGAGTTTCTAGGATGGATGCACAGAATTGCAGGAATAAGTTTGGGTGGATATCACCCAAATTTGCAGGATGATTGTGTGAGCCATCACATTTAAATTCTGAGGAGAACCCACAAGATGTAATCTGTGACCCTCTTTATCATACTTTCCAAAAAGATTATGGCTTTCACAATAGATTGGATCTGAAAGCAAAAGAATCTTTGATTGAAGTACATTTCTGTCCCTTGACTTCTTTTAATCTGTGCGGACTGCTGAATGACTTCAGCATCTTCTTACCCTGGGTAAATGTGAATAAGAACTGAAGAACATCTGGCATTATTTTTGCTATCATCTACGTTTTTATTTGTTTGTATTATTTTGATTGTTTGTCTTTCTTTACAACAATAATAATAGTTTACCTTATGATGTTCCTGGTCCTGTATCAAACTAATTTCTTTGTCAAATTGAATTTTTGGATCTTCTGACGCTTTTCTTTTCTTTTTTTTTTCCTCTGCAGGTTCAACATTGTTGGTCAGGTATATCTGGGAATGGGAATGCATCTATTTGAAGTTTAAAACCTTTGTTGTTCATTTCTAGCCCATGCTTTCTCCGGGTATTGTGTGACCTATTACAAGTTCATGATCTGAGTCTCTAGCATCCTAAAAGACTTCTACATTTGCAGTGGGCTGTCACAACAAGTGTGGATTTTTCACTTGCTCAGCTGATTCAAGTGATCATTCTTCTTAGCACAGGTGGGAAAAATGGTGGTGGGTATGAAGATTCTAAATATGTGGTTATTTGCTTCCACGGAACAATTTTGCTCATCCATGCCGTTTTAAATTGTCTTCCTATTTCATGGTTATCTTTATTTGGACAACTTTCTGCCGCATGGAATGTCATAGGTATGTTTCCTAGGATTTTAACTTAATTTTTCTTCTTCAAATCTTAGCACTTGATGTAGTCTAAATCTTGTACCTAACTTATATTTGCCTTTTTTAGGTGTTTTTGTCCTTATGATTCTCATTCCTATGGTTGCAACGGAGAAGGCTAGTGCCAAATTTGTTTTCACTCACTTTAACAAAGATAGCGGGGAAGGCATCCACAGCAAACTATATATACTTGTTCTGGGCCTCCTTATGAGTCAATATACGCTTACTGGGTATGATGCATCTGCACATATGGTAAGTTATGGTGTCATAGTAATTGTAGTCTTAGATTAACCCGCTGCCTTTAGAATTAGAAAATCTAAGCATGCCATATATTTCGAACTTCTTGTCTCAAACCAGGACATGTTTGAGTGATGTTGATATCCTGCCTAAGATCACTTATTAGTTTGTCATTCCTTGCTGAAGCTCAAAACCTTGCTTGTCATACATAATGGTTACCCTTGTTGGTTATAGCCAGTTTGGCAGAGACATTTTCATTAGATCTCCTCCGTGACTATTTAAACTGTATTGATGGATTACTGTTTTTGTAGAATCTGGCATTTTGAGTTTGGAATCAATGGATATCTAACTCTTAGTTAAAGCAACTTGAAGTAACTCTTAGTTCACTTACATTACAAGTTAATTCATCCATTGACTTCAGACATAACCAAGGATTAAAATATCGATATGCCCGATACGAGGTGTATGGTATCGATATTTTAATCCCTGGGTATAACATACTGAGCTGGTTTTTCCTTTTATTTTTCTTTCTTTACTTCCTTTTCTTGTGTACTGTAATCCATCTTTATCTTTGGAAGTAGGGCTGCAAGTTGGGTTGCCTGACTTGAACAATTTCAACTATATCAGGCTTGGGTTAGGGTTCAGATCCATTCTACACACTTATACATGAGAGAAACTCTCTCTAATTTAATACAATTATACTTGTAAAAAAAAATTAACAAATTCCCAACCTAACCTGACCCAAGTTGCACCCCTATTTGGAAGGAATTATTGTTCCCTTTCACAGAGTTTTAGTTCCAGTATCTTTCTCATGTTAGTTGCTTAAATTTTATTCCATTACTTGGACCAATAATTATGTTTCTCTTTGAACTTACTTCAGACAGAAGAGACAAAGAGTGCAGACAAGAATGGGCCAAAAGGAATAATTAGTGCAATTGGAATTTCTATTGTTGTTGGTTGGGGTTACCTACTTGGTATGACATTTGCAGTAACCAACATCCCACAGCTCTTGAGCCATGACAACGATTCTGGTGGTTATGCCATTGCTGAAGTCTTTTACCAATCCTTCAAGAGTAGATATGGCAATGGAGTTGGGGGAATCATTTGCTTAGGAGTGATTGCACTTGCCATATTTTTCTGTGGTATGAGTTCAGTAACAAGCAACTCCAGGTGAAATTTCCTTTTCCCCTCTTTGTCTCACATTTTTGGAAATGTTTACTTCCATAGTTGCAGTTTCTTTTTTTTTTTTTTTTCATTTGAAAGCTAATTAAGTGTGATCCAATTAATTTCAGGATGGCATATGCATTCTCAAGAGATGGAGCTATGCCCTTTTCATCATTGTGGCATCAAGTGAACAAACAGGAAGTCCCAATAAATGCAGTTTGGCTTTCTGTTTTCATCTCATTTTGTATGGCATTAACTGTACGTACATCATTGTTTTGATTTTTCAAGGTTTCTTTTATCATATTCATTTTGTGGTTTTATGTGGAGAATCTGGAGATTGAAACCATAGGTTCGAAATTCAGCTGGATTAGGTGCAACTCTAATTCAATGTTCCATTTTCCATATTAAAATCTTCAATAGATTGGGCCAAAGTTGTATCATAGCATTCATGATCACCACAAAGACTTGTATTACTTATCTGGCTCTCTAAATAATGCTTACAAAGAATGGCATTTCAAGCTGATTGCAGCTTTTGTTGTGTTTTGCAGTCTCTCGGGAGCCTAGTGGCATTTCAAGCAATGGTGTCAATAGCAACCATTGGACTCTACATTGCATATGCTCTACCGATATTCTTTAGGGTGACCTTGGTTCACAAGTCTTTTGTTCCAGGGCCTTTCAACCTGGGCCGCTATGGGATCCTTGTTGGTTGGATTGCAGTACTCTGGGTAGCAACAATTACAATTCTCTTCTCTTTGCCTGTCGCATACCCCATTACAAAGGACACTCTCAACTACACTCCTGTTGCAGTTGGTGGCCTCCTTATTCTTACCGTGTCTTCATGGTTCTTGAGTGCTCGGCATTGGTTCAAAGGTCCCATAACCAACATAGATATTTAAATATGATATTGCCTGTCAATTTACAGCTTTCATAATATTAAAAATATATTCATTTATTGTCATATAGCTGCCCTTTTCTAACTGTAACCAAATTGTTTCAATTCAATCTACTTTGGTGAATAGGAGTTGAATACATGGGCACTGAAAACTATACCTAGTAGCTTTGGAGTTTCCCAATGAGACTGATTCTCAGACTCTTCCTTTTGATGCATAGCTGTAGTGGTTTTGCTAAAAATTGGACTTCTGTAGCTAGAATTCTAATATGAGAAGCAATGGTAAATTGATACCATGAAATCTAGAGTCACTGCTGGGATGAAAGATGAAATAGAGCAAAACATTCAAATGGAGACACTGTAAATCAAATTTATTAGTCTTAATTCATACCCTCAGTAGCTTGGTAAATAAGGAAGCAAATACATAAGGATTTGAAATAACAAAATTAATGAGCAAGAGCTTTTTCCAATTCCTCTTTCTTACCACCCCAACATTAGTCATTTGATAGTTATATATTTGATTTTTTTCCCTCTGCATTGTTGTTGTTGTCGTTGGTCATGGTGGTAGTAACTTGTGGGCTGGTGGAAATTCTAATCTGCACTAGGGTTACGTTTTGTTGGTTTTGAGAAGTGGGTGAGGGCCATAACAGTATTGTCTTGATCCAAAAGAAAACAAGTTTCTTACAATGGTGGCAACCATTTTCCCTGAAAAGTGAAAATGCAAGAAAATTGAATGTGCCAGCTCGGGTGGATGAGACCTACAAAAAGCTACCTTTCTAAAAAGAAAAAATAACTTTAGTTTTTAGTTTTTTTCTTTTATTTTTTCTAGCCAATCAAACACTTCTTTTCTAGCAAATCAACCAAATGGAACATACGAGAAATTAGAAATATGATTCTACACACCTCATAAATTTTTACGGAGAATCTGCCATGAAACATAAATTTTATCCTGTACACGGGAAAAGTACCGTCATTCAGTCGCAGGAGGCAAATGTTCATTGTGGGATTTAATGTCAGCGAATTCAATTTAAATAACCATTGCGCAGAATTTGTCCATGATGTTTTCAACATTAAGGATTCAACTAAACCTCTCTCCGGAGCTTTGACGACTTCATGGTCATTGTTATCGATGAAGCATGTTTTTTGGCAGCACCCTGTTGTTTGGACAACTATCATGTGGCTGATGATTTAAAGGTCAAAGTGGAGGATTTTTGTTGGATGAGGACTTGGATGTTGAGCTGATTAGGCCGAGCTGGAGGGTAAACTGGGTGTCAAGCTAGGTTGATTGCCGACCTGGGTAGCTCTTCAGAGAAACCTGCAAGGAATCAATGTTAAAGGACCCGAGGTGGCTAACCTAGCGAGGTCGCTCTGATGCTTAAGTCAGTATTGCATTGTCTTGGTTGTGAGCTGAAAGCTTGAGTGTAGAGAGAAGTAGTGAGCAAATAATCGTGCGTACCTCTTCGTGTCATTGGGGTTGGTGCCTTTATATAGGCTTTATTTGGTGTGGGCTTCACGCACCACATCCGAGATTTTTGGGAGGTTTCCTAACCGGTCTGAGATTCCCGAAGGTAATCGCTACGCATGTTGGCCATCCTCAGGAACACTTGGTACATGGGCCAACTTCTGAGAAACTTGGGAGTGTCGGGATATGCATACTGAATTTGTCAGCGAGCACAACTCGTAGGCCGGCTCCTAGACCTCAGCCAGGTCGGCAAGCCCTCAAGGGAGGTTGCTCCCCGCGTTGAGGTCACATCGGCCAATGACGAGGTGCTACAAGTCGGCCCTAGACGAGGTGCTCCTAGTCAGCCTAAGTTGTGCTCAAAGTCACGAGGTTGGCGGTAAAGGTAGATCGCCAGGTCGGGCAAAGACGAACTACGATCTGGGACTCCAAATCATCGCCTAGGTGGCATCTAGGTGTTGTCCAACTGTTTCGGGATGCCATGTGTCACCCAAATCCGCCCTCATCAATTGCCCCCCACTCCCGAGCTGAAAGTAGCTCGGTGAAGGGAGTAGATCGCTTCTTTTGGCCCGAAATGACTGATTCGATAAAGCGTTGGTCCAATTTGCTTCTCAGGTCGGAAGAGTCCAAGTGTTTACAGCCTTACGCAGGACCTCATCGTCTTGATTATCGGGGCACGAGAGCGAATTCATCCGCTCAAGGAGAGGTGGAGCAAGTACCCCGATGACATCTACCTTATTAGGGATGGAACCATCAAGGGGTTCTACAATCCGGCCATTACCTCAAGAGCGAAGTTTATCATGCCATCCTCAAGAGGGGGTTCTATGTGACTGCTTTATCAGGTTGCTCCACCTAGGTAGACTTTGATGCAACGTCCTTCGAGCTGGTTCTCAAAAGAGTAGCTAGTGAGTTCGATGCGGAGCCTGAAACCGAGGTGGAGGTCTACTATGAAGAGATTGACTAAATTTACGTCTGTCATGGTGCTGAAAGCGAACTAGTCTTTCCTTTGTTCTCTTTCTCGTGCTGAATGCGAATTGCTTTTTATTTTGCCCATGCAAAAGAGGCGATTGGGTCTTATGTGATGTCAAAGGTCTTTTATTAGCTCGGCACCGTATCCTTTAGGCTCTGAGAGCGACTCGCAGTCCAATCTCCTTATCCTTGATTTTACCCATGCCGAAGAGGCGATTGGGTCTTAGCACACCTATGCCGAAAAAGCGACTGGGACTTAGCACGCCTATGCCAAAGAAGCGACTAGGACTTATCTGCCCATGCCAAAGAGGCGACTGGGTCTTGTATTGTGCCGAGATTTTTTGTCAGCTCGACACCAAAGTCCTTAGGCTCAAGGAGTGACTTATAGTCCTCTCTCCTTATCCTTGGTCTTTCCCATACCGAAGAAACAACTGGGTCTCATGTGGTGCCGATGTCTTTTATCAGCTCAACACTTTAGCCCTTAGGCTCTGGGAGCGACTCACAGTCCACTCTCCTCATCCTTATTTAGCCAACATGTGGCTTGCCCTTTCCGCCTAAGCGAGTGGTCATTCTGTAGTAATTTCTCATATGACTGCTTCTACGTCATCCCGTGGGATTATCTTCCTGGACGAGTGCTTGCGAGACCACGGCATACATGTTCTATCCCCCCCCCTTGCGAGGGCATAATGTTGTTGTCGGTGTGAGTCAGAAATTCGGGGCCACGGCTGCGTTGCATCAACCTTGTAATGACGTCGGTCGTCCACTCCTACGAGAAGCCACAGTGAGCTCGACTTCCGAGGGCAGCTCTACTAACTATAGGTCGCCGACTCACTCAGGAGCCTTGAGGGGCTTGACCCGCAAGGGCATTCACATAGTTCATAGGCCGCTAACTCCCGCGGGAGCCACGAAGGGTTCAATCTGTAGGAGAGACCTCGCGAAGAGGACTAATGAGGCTTATCCAGGCTGAAATAAAGTCGGCAGAGCTGCTTAGTCTATTGGCCATCAACTTCCTATGGGAACCATGACTGGCTCAACTTGTGGGGACAGCCTTACTCCGAGGTGCTTGTCGCCAGGCTGCTGGTTGTTAAGGTCATTTTGCTATTGCCTATTCTGCATCGACATGAATACGCCGAGCTGCTCCCATGCTCACATCTAGAAATTCATGCTTCATCTCATGGAACTTTCGCGCTTTGATCCCGACGGGAACTACTGATGGCTCTACCGCGGGGAGAGGGGCATTCACATGCGGTAAAGGGGTATTTATCTGATTGTCACAGAGGAGTTCTCTAGGTTCATCATAGATGTTTTTGCCCCCTAGTAATCGGTATTCGTTCTAGGTGTTGATGCTGCTCAAAAGTGCATTTGAGCTCATAAAAAGGGAAATTAGAAAGTGACTTTAATTTCTAAAAGGTGAGATCTTTAGTTTTCTGGAAGATGAGGACTTAGCCTTTTAGAAGGTGAGAACTTAGCTTCTTGTAGTGTTTGCCACAAACTGTGCCAATTGATGAAGCACTTTTTTGGCAGCACCTTGTTGTTCGGACTACTTCCAGGTGGTCGATGACTCAGAGGCCGAAGAGGAGGATTTTTTACTGGATGAGGACTTGGATGTCGAGCTGGGGGGTAGAGTGGATGCCAAGCTAGGTTGATTGCCGAGTTGGGTAGCTCTTTAGAGAAACCTGCAAGGAATCAATGTGAGAGGACTCGGGGTGGCTAACCCGGCAAGGTCGCTCTGATGCTTAAGTCAGTATTATGTTGTCTTGGTTGCGAGCTGAAAGCTTGAGTGTAGAGAGAGCTAGTGAGCAAATAATCGCGCGTACCTCTTCGTGTCATTGGGGTTGATGCCTTTATATAGGCTTTGTTTGGCGTGGGTTTCACACACCACATCCAAGATTTCCGGGAGGTTACCTAACCGGTTCGAGATCCCCGGAGGTAACCGCCACACACATTGGCCATCCTCCGGAACACTCGGTACGTGGGCCAACTTTCTAGAAACTTGGGAGTTTCGGGATATGCATATTGAATTTGTCGGCGAGCACAAATCGCAAGTCGCCTCCTGAACCTCAGTTAGGTCGGCAAGCCCTCGAGGGAGGTCACTCCTCGCGTTGAGGTCACATCAGCCATTGACGAGGTGCTACAGGTCAGCCCTAGACGAGGTGCTCCTAGCTAGTCTAAGTTGTGGTCGAAGTCGCTAGGTTGGCGGTAATGGCAGGTAGCCAGGTCGAGGCGAAGACGAAATATAATCTAGAACTCTAAATCATCGCCTAAGTGGCGTCCAGCTATTTCAGGATGCCATGTGTCACAATGTCATTGGAGGGCCAAATCCGCCCTCATTAGTTATTATTTGAACTCTTTGCAACGAGGGATCGCTTCTTATCATGTTTCTATGTACCTTTTGAACTATGTAAGATATCTCGAAGTAGGGGGGAGGTATTTCCTATTTAGGCTTGTTCGTTTTTGAGTAAATCATTTGCCATGAAAGGGTCATTATTGAAGGGATAGTATTGTTCCATTACCCATTAGGCTCAGTTTTGAAGGAGTACTATGCAAATATGTAGAGTGCAAAACCTTATATTTTGTATTGTTTTGTATGTATTTGCATTGTACATATTTGCATTTGTTCTCTTTCAAAACTGAGCCTTAGCAATTTTATGCCCCAACAGGAAAGTTATTTATCTAAGTCTCGGGAGGGTTTTTCTTTTTTCTATTAGAACAACTAATACTAAACACAAATATGGGTTTCTTTCTTTCCATGGGACCTACCAACTTACCCACCCCATTTGTTGAA